TTTCCCTTGCTGCTTGTAATATTTTTTCTTTGTATTTAATTTTTGATAGTTTCATTAATATGTGTCTTTGCATGTTTCTCCTTGGATTTATCCTGTATGGGACTCTCTGTGCTTCCTGGACTTGACCATTTCCTTTCCCATATTAGAGAAGTTTTCAACTATAATCTCTTCAAATATTTTCTCAGTCCCTTTCTTTTTCTCTTCTTCTTCTGGGACCCCTATAATTCGAATGCTGGTGCATTTAATGTTGTCCCAGAGGTCTCTGAGACTGTCCTCAATTCTTTTCATTCTTTTTTCTTTATTCTGCTCTGAGGCAGTTATTTCCAGTATTTTATCTTCCAGGTCACTTATCCATTCTTCTGCCTCAGTTATTCTGCTATTGATTCCTTCTAGAAGTTTTTAAATTTCATTTATTGTGTTGTTCATCATTGTTTGTTTGCTCTTTAGTTCTTCTAGGTCCTTGTTAAACACTTCTTATATTTTCTCCATTCTATTTCCAAGATTTTGGATCATCTTTACTCTCATTACTCTGAATTCTTTTTCAGGTAGACTGATTATTTCCTCTTCACTTGTTTGTTCTGGTGGGTTTTTACCTTACTCCTTCATCTTCTGTGTATTTCTCTATCTTCTCATTTTGCTTAACTTACTTACTGTGTTTGGGGTCTCCTTTTCAGAGGCTGCAGGTTCGTAGTTCCCGTTGTTTTTGGTGTCTGCCCCCAGTGAGTAAGGTTGCTTCAGTGTGTTGTGTAGGCATCCTGTTGGTGGGGACTGGTGCCTGTGTTCTGGTGGATGAGGCGGGATCTTATCTTTCTGGTGGGCAGGACCATGTCCGGTGGTGTGTTTTGGGGTGTCTGTGAACTTATTATGATTTTAGGCAGCCTCTCTGCTAATGGGTGGGGTTGTGTTCCTGTCTTGCTAGTTGTTTGGCATGGGGTGTCCAGCACTGGAGCTTGCTGGTCATTGAGTGGAGCTGGGTCTTAGTGTTGAGACAGAGATCTCTACGAGAGCTCTCGTCGATTGATATTACGAGGGGCTGGGAGGTCTCTGGTGGACCAATGTCCTGTACTCAGCTCTCCCACCTCAGAGGCTCAGGCCTGACATCTGGCCAGAGCACCAAGACCCTGTCAGCCACACGGCTCAGAAGAAAAGGGAAAAAAGAAAGAAAGAAAAATAAAGTTATTAAAATAAAAAATAAATTATTAAAATTAAAAAATAAAGTAATTAAAAAAAAAGAAGAGAGCAACCAAACCAATAAACAAATCCACCAATGATAACAAGCGCTAAAAACTATCCTAAAAAAAAAAAAACGGACAGACAGAACCCTAGGACAAATGGTAAAAGCAAAGCTATACAGACAAAATCACACAAAGAAGCATACACATACACACTCACAAAAAGAGAAAAAGGGGAAAAATATATATATATAAAGGAAGAGAGCAACCAAATCAATAAACAAATCTACCAATGATAATAAGTTCTAAATACTAAACTAAGATAAACATAAAACCAGAAACAAATTAGATGCAGAAAGCAAACCCCGCGTCTACAGTTGCTCCCAAAGTCCACTGCCTCAGTTTTGGGATGATTCGTTGTCTGTTCAGGTATTCCAGAGATGCAGGGTACATCAAGTTGACTGTGGAGATTTAATCCGCTGCTCCTGAAGCTGTGCAGAGAAATTTCCCTTTCTCTTCTTTGTTCGCACAGCTCCTGGGGTTCAGCTTTGGATTTGGCCCCGCCTCTGTGTGTAGGTCGCCCTCTGGCATCTGTTCTTTTGGGAGGTCTGAGGTCTTCTGCCAGCGTTCAGTAGGTGTTCTGTAGGAGCTGTTCCACACGTAGATGTATTTTTGATGTATTTGTGGGGAGGAAGGTGATCTCCACGTCTTACTCCTCTGCCATCTTGAAGGTCCTCCCCGCCAACTGGTTCTTTAAATCTGGCCCAGACTCTTTCATTCATTCATTCATTCATTCATTTATTTATTTATTTATTTATTTAGGGCTGCGTTGGGTCTTTGTTGCTTTGTGTGGGCTTTCTCTAGTTGTGGTGAGTGGCGGCTACTCTTTGCTGCAGTGCGTGGGCTTCTCATTGCGTTGGCTTCTCGTTGCGGAGCACAGGCTCTAGGCGTGTGGGCTTCAGTAGTTGCAGCACGTGCGCTCAGTAGTTGTGGCTCGCAGGCTCTAGGGTGCAGGCTCAGTAGTTGTGGCGCACGGGCTTATTTGCTCCGTGGCATGTGGGATCTTCCCAGATCAGGGCTTGAACCCGTGTCCCCTGCATTGGCAGGAGGATTCTTAACCACTGCGCCACCAGGGAGGCCCGGCCCAGACTCTTTAAATCTGGCCCACTGCCTAATTTTGCACAGCACAGGAGCTAAAAATGGTTTTTACATTTTAAAATGATGGAAAAAATATCAAAAGTAGAATAGCATTTCGTGTCATGTGAAAGTTATATGAAATTCAGATATCCTGTCCCTGTCCCTGTCCAATATAAGTAAAGTTGTATTGGAACACAGCGTAGTCATTTGTTTACATACTGTATACAGCTGTTTTTGTGCTAAAAGGGCTGAGTTGAGTAGTTGTGAGAGACCTTAAGGCATGCAATGAGGAAAACATTTACTATCTGACTTTTTATAGAAAAGCTTGCTGAGCCCTGCTTAGAGATCAGATTCAGGGAGAAGTTATTTGTGTGCATGTCTGTTTGCTTATTGATGGATGATGCTTTTGTGTTGGACGTACCTGGCCTGTGATGTGGTCATCAAAGAAGCTGTAGGAGTGCAGTGGTCCATATTCTTCTACTTTCCTCATTTCCTTCCCAAAGTCAGAAGAACGTTATTATGTGAGAAAATTAGATTATTAAAGGGACTGTGAGAAGTATCATAGTAACAAATGGAAAGATCTACATATTGACTCAAGAAGTTATGGATTTCTTATCTAACTTGAAGACTTAACATTAGTTCTGTTCCTATATTCCAAAATTTGAAGTGATTTCCTCTTTGGGTCTGAGAAATCTTTTGAAAGGCAAAAATCTTTTATTCTTATGACTCACCATAAAACGCAGTGCCATATCGGATGGGCCCTTTGTTCAGTGGCATTATCACATTGAGTGGTTCCATTGGGTTTATACTTGCATTTGGCTGTCGGTAGGATATGATTAACAACTGGATAGTAGGAAATACCTTTTAGCAGAATATCTAGGGTATCCTGCTCATTTCCCATGACAGTTGAATTAACATTCATGGCTGACATTGATACTTCTACCTACCATAATATATATGAAAATTTGAAATTAATATAAAAGTCATACTGCTACCAGTAAAAAAATGTTAACAATAGTACCATAAAATATTATAAAATTGAAAATATGAGTCATTTTGATTCAAAATCCCTACTGTGTACACGACTGACCTCAGCTGTCCCCTCTTGTTTTGTTCTGTTTCAGAGGTTGAAGGCTGCGTTGACTCACCACCCTGCTGCCATGTCAAATGGGAATATGAACACCATGGGACACATGATGGAAATGATGGGGTCCCGTCAGGACCAGACGCCACACCATCACATGCACTCACACCCACATCAGCACCAGACACTGCCAGCCCATCACCCCTACCCGCACCAGCACCAGCACCCAGCACACCATCCTCACCCTCAGCCCCATCACCAGCAGAACCACCCACATCATCACTCCCACTCCCACCTTCACGCACACCCGGCACATCACCAGACCTCGCCACACCCACCCCTGCACTCCGGCAACCAAGCACAGGTAGACCTTTTTCATCATCTCTTTCTCCCTTCTCGTTAACAGTACAAGCTCAAATATGGGGCTCATTGGCAGCAGCCTTGTTTGACAAGCCCAGGTGTTCTATCTGACACTCTGGGGGGCTCTGTTCATTTCCTAAGAGGTAATGGTTACCCATAAGACCCTACCAGATCGTAGTTCCTATAACTAATAAGGTAAATATCAGGTTTAGTTTCTAGGGGCAAACGTAAGCTTCAAGTTCTCCAAAATCTATTTTTGCAGTGTGTTATAAAGTTAACCCTAAAAAAGTAACACCAATGGAGGATTAAGAATTTAAGCTTTAAAGAAAGATGTGAATAAAGGATGAGAAAAATAAGTTAATTCTAACCATGGTTCTATCTGCAGTACTTTATAACATCATAGAGACTCAATTTTGTCACCTGCAAATTGGAAGTTAAATACAATGGGCAATCTTCTGAATAACAGTAAGTGTTAAAAATATAAAGGGTAACAATTTCAGGCAGACAAAGAGGCCCGGTAATGGATGTTAGGGTGTAAGGTGTTGTGTAAATGGTAAAGAAAGGTGACTCATCCCACCCAGTGAGAAATGTGTTGGAGGGAGAAGGCAGAGAGCCAGGCTCTGTAGATGATCAGTTCAAGAGGAAGGCCAAATCCCAGTGGTGGAAAGTCACCAGGAGTGGCTAGAAAGAAAGCCAGCATTTAGACACAACTGGAAGAGGGTCGGGGGATCTGGCAGACGTTACGTCACCCAGCCCAAGAAGAGAGGCGGGTCCATGTACCCGAGTGAGTTTTAGTAAGTGGATGAAGGGCATGTCTAGGAGCATGGCTAGTCCTAGACATTTTGGACCTTCAAGTGGGATGACCTTTGTCAGTTCCCTCCACCCATTCAAACTGCCAGGTTCCAACCAGCTGGGTCAGAATGGTGTCAGAAGCTTGGGATCACACTTATTCACTGTCTCCTCCATTGTCTGCCTCTGTACCTCTCACCTGGCAGCTTTTAGAGATCTTGCATCAACCCCTCCAACATACACCAAACCTGGACAGCCATCCACAAAATGTGTTATCCATAAGCAACTCTCCATTCAATAGATAAGCTTATTTATTAGCTAAGCTTGCTTTTGCAAAGTTCTTAGAGGTATTCTATATAGCAAATAAGAGTGTAGGCTTTGGAGTGAGAAAACTTTCATTCTTTTCCCACCTTACTTGTTGTATGACTGTGGTCAGTAGATGAACCTCTCTAAGCCTCAGTTTTCCCATCTGTAAAATGGGGTGATAATAGACCCTCAGGAGTATTAAATAAGAGAATGTTTTGCCCTTGGTGGCACAGTTTTCAATACATGATAGCCATGATTAATTCCAAACCGAATAATGTGATAGAAGCTTAGCAAGTAGTTTAGCAATAAAATGCTATCCAAAGCACCTTTTTAGTCATGTGCCATAGTAGGACATATTTTTAGAAGGGAAAAAGAGAACTATAATAGATCAACTATAAACTATAATAAGGTCAAAGATAGGCAGATAGATTCACATGTATACTTATATTTTTTAAAAATGGATAGCATCAAGTTTTGGTTGCATTTGTGAGCGAGTTACTTCACAGACAAGCTTAACAGTTCATTAAATATAAAAGCCATTCATTAGCTAATTACGAATTAGCCAGTTGCCCTCCATCTCAAGTCAGCAAGTGGCCAATTGTATATGCAATCGGTTAATTGCCTTTATAATTGGCTGCACAAAGTTGCTTTTTTATCCTATGCTACTAAAAAGAAAGAGTCCAGGTTGGTCTTGTTGAAATTTGAACAAGATCATTTAGACCATATTCAAAATGCCACTGTTAACTGTATTAACTTGGTTGATATTGAGACTCTTGTCATGTGGCCTAATTGTATGATTATCAGAACAATAGAAGTTTATTAAGGTCATCAACTCTGAGATTCTAAGATGACTTGGAATAAATTCTGTCATTTTGAAATTAGTTAATTATTTTTGATCAAAATTTTCAGAGCATCTGTGTCAACATAATGCCATTCTATTTATTTTACTGAAGTATAGTTGGTTTATAATATTAGTTTCAGGTGTACAGCAGAGTGATTTGGTTATGCATATATATGTATATATCTATATTCTTTTTTATTCTTTTCCATTATAGTTTATTACGAGAACTATGAATATAGTTCCCTGCGCTATACAGTAAATCCTTCTTGTTTATCTAGTTTATGTATGGTAGTGTGCCTCTGTTAATCCCATACTTCCAATTTATCCCTCCCACCCCACCCCTACAGAATGCTATTTTAAAAAGATAATGGTAGGTAACGATAATTATCGTTTTTGATAATTTTGTTTAAAGCACAAATTCTGGTCTTAGGGTTGCATTTTCAATTTCTCCTGGCTTCTTGCGATTCTTTTGCATATAAGAATGTGACTTCAGAGTCCTGGTATCACTCCTTGGCCACCAGGAATTTCTCTTAACCAAACGACACCTTGACCCTGAACCTGGACTGCACCTGAAACCACCATGTAACTTACCCCTTTGGGTAAAGGCAGAGGAGAAGCATCAGGGGGTAAGGGCTTGTTAACGTTAGCGTGGTAGAATACAGTATTGAAAGAGAGGTCCCTGCACTGGAGATTAAAACCCAGTTTTACCTACTTGAGAGTCTTGTCTAGGGCTGGCAGTGAGAGATCACTAATTCATACAAAGAAATGAATGAATTTATTTCATTCATTTTTTGCCTGTTAATCCCATACTGCCAGTTTATCCCTCCCACCCCACCCCGACAGAATGCAAAAACAGCCAGGTTAGCACCTTCTTTCCTAGTGCTTTGCTTTGCGGTGGTTAGCTCAGAAGTTACTGCACCTGAAATGACTAGTGCTAAACGCTTGCCAATAACAAGGAACACAGCTTCATCAGCCACTCTGGTGAGTAAGATCTTAGACAGTTTATTTTGTTACTCCTCTGTGATTCGGAGGGAAGGAATTGCCAATACACAGTTTTAGAAAATGTCTTTGCTTTAAACAAAATTACTGAGATGCAATCTAACCTCCGTCCTGAGACTGATTCTTTTTCAGTGAGTCACGGAGGGTTTGATAAGCTTAGGATTAAACTATAGCATCATCAGTCAGCTGATGTCAACCAGGAGCCATTATTAGTGCAATTACAGTCGTTCTGATTGATTTCAATCATAGGGTTGGAATGTGGTAGAAAAGGTGGCTGGGTTTCATTTTTAAAACTTTTTGCCTGTTATTTCTGCAGGTTAAATGCCTCTTGTAAAACAACTTTATAGGTATTACAGCCATAAGCCTGAGTGACTGAGCAATGAGAGGGAGGAGAAAAAAAAAACACCACCACCCTTTATGGAGAATGAAGAAAAGGGAAGGAGTGAAGTGCATTAGGGAAGCATTAGGTGTCCAGACTCATAAACAATCAGTCATAGAAATTTCACTAGGTGCTGAGTGTCTGCTGTATGAAGGGAAATAAAGCCATATGTGTGGGAGTCCCTAAAACCTTAGATGTTGTTGAGCCCCATGCAGACCTTACAGGCAATCTATAAGCATAGTAAAAACTTTTTAATAAAGTGCTTTGCCACTCCTAGGATTTCCTTATAATGTAAGTATATACAACCACCCCTCCCTGTCAACAGACACGGTGTATTAACAGGGCTCAGTGCTGCATCACGATGGACTTTCAAAGGCCCCGCTTCCCAATCACCTAGAAATTCACCCACTCACCATCTCCTGTGACTCCTTCAGCCTTGGTCAAGCTCTGAGGAGGAGACAGGCCCATTTGCAGTTTGCAGGTCCAGCTAGGCATCTGCAGTAGGAACTGTGAAACTGTGACAAAAGGATTTCAGCTGCTTTCCAGGCTTCACGGGGTTCTTTTGATAGGAGTCACAATGGCAGTGCTGTCCCAGAGGTGTGTTCTAGGAACATGGTTTTGACACCATTAGTATGAAAGGCATTCACAACCTGCCCAGAAGGAGTTTTCTGCAGATGACAGAAGACTCGTCAGTAGGGTGACAGTCACCCTGACCTCTGTTTTCACCTGTTGCCATACATTGGCACTTTCAGATTTTACAAGGCACCTTAAATAAAACATTTTTAACATCTGAGGAGAAAAAAAATGTTTCTTCTGTCATGATTCAGCCAAATGCCAGTCAGGGGGAAAAAATCTACTTGACTCTCTTTTCGCAGATCATCCCTGTATCTTTTGCCAAAATATCATGGAAGATAGCAGGGTGATGCTTTTCCTTTTCATGAGCGTGGTCTCATTGTTGACTTCATTCTTAGAAAACAAGTGTAATGTGCTAACTAAAACAAGCGACTCCCTGTGTTTTGCATTTCAACACCTTACCCAGCCGTTCCTCCTCTCTCCCCATCACCCCCTCCCTCTCTTTCCCAGCAGGTTTCACCAGCGACACAACAGATGCAGGCCACCCAGACAATACAGCCGCCTCAGCCCACAGGGGGGCGCCGGCGAAGGGTGGTGGATGAGGATCCTGACGAGAGGCGGCGGAAATTTCTGGAACGGAACCGGGCAGCCGCCACCCGCTGCAGACAGAAGAGGAAGGTCTGGGTGATGTCACTGGAAAAGAAAGCAGAAGAACTCACCCAGACAAACATGCAACTTCAGGTGCAGGCCACTGTCTCTCTCCCCAGGACTCAAAGGCCCTGTGTAACACTGGCATTTCCTGCCCCGGCAGGCACTTGTTGACCTAAGCACTAACACCACCCCTTAGCCCACAGAGCAACTGCAGGCTTATTCCTCAAGGTTGATTAGTTCCGAGACACTCTACAAAACAAAACAACCATTCAGTTTTACATCAGTCTGCTCTGAGGAGGGAAACCCTGCCCAATTAAGTTATAGGGCTGGGAGCAGAAGCTTGGTCAGACAGAGGTTCAAACTCTTGTTCCGTACCTACTTGCTGGGTTTAACCTCTCTGGCTCTCAGTTTCCTCATCTATAAAATGGGAATAATAACCTCATAAAGTTGTTGGGAGGAATAAATGAACTAATGTCTACAGAGCCGTTTGTACATAATAAATCTTCAACCAAAAGGCCGCTCTTTATGTCCACTGGGTGAGGGGGTTGCTTCAGTTTACACTAGATTATCTATATTTTTGTTTAGTGGAAAAAAGGGAGGTTTGTGTTTATTATTTTGCTCCATAAGAAAAGGCATGTTTCCATCTCATTTTTAAACTTGACAAGATTTGAATCTTGCATGATTTTTGCTTTCCATGGGTGGCTCAGTGGGGGGACATTTTATAACAAGGCCACTTCTAGGAATTTTTGAGAACCTCCAGCACCTGGAGCTTCTCCAGTGGACTTCATGCCATACACGTGATGCAGTTCAGGGCATTTGTTCTAACACAAAAAGAAGTGCACTGTTCACCAGCAGAAGAAAAAGCAAGTATTATATAAGTGACAAGCAGTCAGGGATAGCAGTAAAAATCGTGGATTATAGCGCTGGGTTATATACAGTGCTTCCAGGAGCAGAGATAATGGCTAAAGAGTGGAGGGAAGAGGGGAAAGAATGCCTAAAATAGGGAGAATCTGCTCCTCAGTAGTTCATAGGTCACCTTCACCCCCCATCCTCTGCGCATCCTCAGAAAGGAGCAATTAGGGTGCCAAACCCCCCTTTGCATATTTAATTCCATTAAGTGGAAATGGTCTTGGGACATCCAGTGTACAAATTGAAATTATACAAAGAAAGTTTGGGTTATACAGGGACTGACTGTCATCATTTATGGATGTTCACTCTCCCCCCCCCCCAAGTTTATCATTCTTTTAATGATAGACATGAGAAAGAAACTGGGAAACGTATATAGCAGATATGGGGGAAGTAAGATAAGAAATCCTCCCACTGGCTTGTACGAAGCTTGTGTGAAGTTGGAGACTCTGTTATCCTCTCCCCCGACCACTTACCCCCTTTTGTAACGTCGGGTCTAGCGTGGAGAGTTCCTGAGTGTCTGTACTCAGTATCTGCTGAATAAATGAATGAGCTCCTCATCTCGGGGGCGTCCAGGAACTCGCCGCCTGACCACTTGGCAAAGATGCGATTTAAGGGAATCAAGCCGCAGAGTCTGGCTGGACTCAAACGCCACCGAAACCACTCTAACTTGAAAGTCTATAATTCTAGAATCTGGCAGGTATAGTAGTATGTGAGAAGCTTTTAGGTGGACATGAGTACACGTTTTTAATATTAATAATAATCATATTTTAATTTTTATGTGTACTGAAAAATGTAATCAGAACATCAAACCTTCAGTTTCACAGATATTTTTGGTAAGGACCAGGCTAAATCTTTAAAAAATGAGTTAATTTGTACAAACATGTTAAGTAAATAAAAGTTCTGGTGTATGTGACCTAGCAAATATCACAGCAGTGGTTTTGTAATGACTGAAATGTGAGAACCCCTGGAATTTGCTACCAGTTCTGAGATCTGCAAGAGGATCATGAACAGGTGCAGGTTTTCTCAGTCTCAGCACTATTACCTTGGGGCTCAGTAATTCTTTGTTGTCTCCAGTGCAGTGTAGATACTTAGCAGTATCCTTGACCTCTACCCTCTAGGTATCAGTAGCACCCTCTACCCCACCCCCAAGTTGTGACAACTGAAAAACGTTCAGACAATACCAAATGTCCCCCGTGGGGGGCAAAATTACCCCTGAGTGAGACCCACTGACCCAGATGAAGGAGCCTTGAGTAGTCAGATGACACGTAATCAGATGCGGACAAGTTTTTAAATCAGTTTTAACTAAAATGAGTCCTTGCAGAATGACCCCAGGGTATTGACCATCATTCCAGAGCCTGAAGACATGGAGGGGGTCATAGCAGAGAGCCAGGAAAAGTGAGGATACTGGTTTACTTTGACGTCAGATGTGTTCATGACTTGACATATGAACATATGTTATAGCTTTCACTTAACATATAAGGTACTTAACATATAAGGTATATCCTTTATGCGAACCTAATCTACTTTTTTAAGAGTATATTTTAAAACATGCTTATTGCCAGAAGAGAGACTTTTTATTTTATTTATTTATTTTTGGCTGCATTGGGTCTTAGTTGTGGCACATGGGATCTTTTGTTGCAGCTCACAGGCTTCTCTCTAGTTGTGGCACTCAGGCTCAGTAGTTGCGGCCCGGGCTTAGTTGTCCTGCAGCATGTGGGATCTTAGTTCCCCAACCAGGGCTCGAACCTGCATCCACTGCATTGGAAGGTGGATTCTTAACCACTGGAGTACCAGGGAAGTCCCAAACCTAATCTATTAATTTTCACATTTTTAGAACTAAAATGGAAGGATAAGAGACACTAGAATTCTAGCCCCTGAAAACCAGAAAAAAAAGTCCTATTGGGGCCATTCAACAGGCACCAGTATTTTTGGTTGTTAAAGCAGTGCCTGAGGAAGGGACGGTCTCTGAAAAGACTACGTCGTTGGTGTTTTCCAACCACTGCTTTGCTTCACAGGGACAGAAACCACAAGGGCTCCATGTTTTCTGTGATGCCGAGTGCTCTGCATCATGCCATGTGATGCTGGAGAGGATATGCAGATTCTGCTACCTTTGAATGACCCTTTCCCTCTCACTGGACCTTTGTCAAAAGAAAAAGTTGTCTCTCTTGAGGCTGGTCCAGTGAGCCAAATTTTAAGTAAACAGAAATGGAAGGTGCTACACAAACAAACTCCCGCCAAAAGGAATATCCAAGGTCTGGATGGCCAGCTGCCACTTTTGTTTTCCAGCATAAATCTTCTAGTTAGGCTGCAGAGCTTCAGATTGGAAAAATTAGAACTGAGAAAACAAAATCAAACTCCCAGACTTCATTTCCTCATCTCACAACAAATCTCTACCCAAGAGGTCAACACAGGTATAGGAATTGGGGGAAATATTAGAAACCACCCAGTCTGACATTTTATTTGGGAGAAACTGAGTCTCGGGGGACATGAGAAGTCTTCCTGAAAGTCACACAACCAGCAAGTAGTAGGATGAAAACCCAAGCAAGTCTTCTCTTGACCTAACCCACTGCTCTGTGATCTTTCATTCTAGAAAGTTCTTCAACTATGAAGGAATCCACATTCTTTTCACTGACAGAGTGGCTGAGATCAGCTCTAAATTCATCAACTGCTAATGTGGTGCTCAGTGGATTGTGTTCAATAGATGATACGGAAATCGTCTGGTCGCCCACGGAAATAATTGCTTTTCTTTTTCAGTACAAAGACACATGGCCTAAGTCGCTGCTGAAATTTTAGACACGCGAGCTCAGGTTTAGGACTTGGCAAGAGAATAGGCCAGATGGGAACTGTTGCTGTACAAATTGAAAGTCCTTTGTTTTAGAATGAACCAGACCTGGCCTCAGTTAATCTACAAAAAAAAAAAAAAAAAAAAAAAAATAGGGGAGGGGCTATGTGGCAGGGCTCATTTTGATAATTATTTTTTCGGCATGGACTACTGCTTGCATCAAAAAGCATTTGGAGTTTATCATATTAACAAAATGACATCCCCCCCAAAACTGAAAATGTAGCTATTAGGGACTTCTTGGAGTGCTTGTTTAAAGTATGTTATTACAGCGTTGAATGTCTATATAGGGGTGCTACTTCATCCCAAGGCAACTTTATGGGTTTAAGAACAGATTAATCTTAACTACATCTATACTCTTACAGTCCCTATTTAAATGGCTAAACTTTTAGGAGTAGCAAACCCAAACTAGTTTAGAAAAAAGAAAAGAATGAAGAGCTGATTTCAGCAAGAGAATCAATACTTATTATTAATACTTTGCTTTTGCAAAGTGCTTCTATATGAAGACCTATAGTTATTATTAGAAACTACACAAGGGAGTAAAAAAAAACTGGTGATTTGCATCAATTCATAATGCAAGGTAATTCAGAATAAGAAAATGTCTCCAGAAGTCCTGGTTTCTATTTCCCTACTAGAACGGCAGGCCACTTTTGATTTCTTTCATGCATTTTGAAACATTTGCTGTCTGGTTCTTCTCTTCCAAAATGTATTCAAGGTGATTTCTATTAATGTTATCTTGAAAAGGGTTTTTATTTAAAATATAGTCTAGTATTTGTGCATTTCCTACATCAGTCAGTCTATCAATATAGAATGATATCTATCAGTATCTATCAATATGGAATGTTTATGCATGTGCACAGCACACATGATTCACTCCGTTTTTAACATTCTCTACTGTTTTTAACCCATTCTCTACTGTTTTTAACCCATTCTCTACCGTTTTTAACCCAAATGCTCCCTTATGGAATCTGATGAAGGCTCTGTAGACTCTCACAATATGGAAATGAACATGAACTTGAAATTTTGCACAAAAGTGAAACTGTAAATGTTGCTTTGGAATCTGCCCTGTTAAGATTTGGAAGTATAGGAGGTGCTAGAACTGGCTCCCTTAGAAAATATAAGACTTGATATATAAGCCCATTTGAGAATACCAAAAGCAATTAACTAGTGAATAAAAAATCAAGATGGAGACCTTCATTAGATTATTAGGTAATTAGCATTCTCAATAGAAGGCAATTCATAGAATAAAAAACTATCTTGCAGGAAGTAACTAGAAAACTAGTCCAACCACCTTGTTCTACACTAGGTTGATGTGGCAATTTGGGGAGCCAAACCCGATTATTCTCAACTGTCATCTGAGAGTTCCTTTTTCTGCTGGAAGCTGCCCCACGAATTTCTGTTGCTTCTCTGGCCATTAGACTTTTATTTAGTCCTTATCAGTATCGTACTTATGTGTGCATGATCTAAGCAAGAGGGAGGCTGATTGTTCTTGTCTATGGAGAATATTAATTGGCATTCATTTTCCAACCCTAACATAGCTAAATTACATAATTACTAATATATTACATTCAGAAATATGTCCATATTCACATATATCTTTAAATGATGGTCAGTTGTTACAGTGCTCTCCAGGTTCCTACATTTTTACAGACCCTCACAACTCCCAGGTCCTCAGTTTCTATACTTACAATGTATTGGTTTATTAATAAAGTGCTTTGCTGTCCAGAGACAAAAAAATGCCACTAAAATCATCTATTTTCTATGGGGCTTTGGTTATAGGCCAGGACACCACATACACTGTTTGTTGTGGTGATTGGTGCTGTTTTATTGTGGCCTCTCATGAAAGCAAAAGGTTTATCCTGAAATGGTTTGGGATATGCCAAGTATTGTAGGCAGTTAGCTCCTTGCAGTTGTAGGAACCCGAAGAACGGGATTCAAGGTGTTTTTTTTAAGGAAGGGACAATGTACACTTCGAGTCTGGGGGATGGAAGACTGCCTAGAAAAGGTGTGACTGCTGAGGACGCAGAGGAGGAAGAAATGGAGACTAAAATCATCCCCTCCAAGGCAGCCGCCAAGTGAGATTTTTCTTTTCTTTTCTTCCAGAAGTACAAGAAGGCAACAGAATCCTGTTGTTTTATTTTAAATACTTTCCTCATTTGTTTCCTAGATCATGGAAGAGAAGTATGGCTGGATTCACTAAGGACTGGAGCTTGACTCCACTTTCTTAGAACCATTGTCTGCAACTGACAGTTTCCCCTTAGGGTCCAGGTGTCTAGCAGTTGTGATTTCAGAAAAGTGTTATCTCTATAGTCCAAATACAAATCATGTCGCATTTCATTTTGAGGCCAAATATGTATACATTCAAACATCTTAGTTTTCTTTTTCTCCTTTTTCTGTTCTGTTTTTGTCTGTTCTGTTTTTAACCGGGGGCTGCCTTCTGTTTAATGGTCTAAAAGTAACTTTCTTTCACACAGGCTATTTTAAGCAGAGGGGGAGCTGGGAAAAGGAAGGATGGCTATCTGAATTTAAATGGGCATAAAATTAGAGAAAAAAAATAGTGTTTAAGGCTAAAATAAATTGTCCTATAAATAAACTTGTCCCACTGACCCCCAAATTGACAAGGGTCACTTTCAGCTTTGATAGGGCCCCTTATCAACCGCACTCATTTGGAGGTGGGAGGTGCAGTTCACCTTCCTGAACGTTCTCAAATTTAAGAGCAATTTTCCTAAGAAATTAAGTGATTTATTCATCATTAGTGCTAATTTCTCAGGCATTTAAAAATTTTTTTTATTGGAGTATAGTTGATTCACAATGTTGTGTTAGTTTCAGGTGTACAGCAAAGTGAATCAGTTATACACATACACATACCCATTCTTTATTAGATTCTTTTCCCATATAGGTTATTTCAGAATATTGAGCAGAGTTCCCTGTGTTATACAGTAGGTCCTTATTAGTTATCTATTTTATATATAGTAGTGCATATATGTTAATCCCAGTCTCCTAACTTATCCCTCCCCCCTTTCGTCAGATAGGCATAAAAGCCTTGTAGATGAGATTTTTATTATTTTTGTATTCATGCTACTCAACATTTGATTGCTTATAATGTATTTTGCAAATGAATTTGGAATTAGGAGGTATTCTTTGAAACAATTTTCCAAAAATTTTTTAATTAACTTCAGAATCCCAAACTTACTTTTTAGGTGATAAATACATGCCTCAAAAGCCAAGTTCATACTGAAAGTGTAGATACAACTTAATGACAAATGTTAAAACACCTTCTTCTGTGTGCATGCTTTTGAAAAGTCTCCTCCACGTGGAGTATAATTGCGGGGCAGCCACAAATGAACATTGGCCAGAGAGGTGTTATTTATCACAACTGTAAAATGGCTTATTTGAGGTAGTGCTACGTTTACAGTTTACTTTTATCAAGTGGCAGCACCTTGGAACCATCTGTTCTACATTTATACAGTTGTCCCTCAATATCAGTGGGTATTGGTTCCAAGACTGGCCTCAGATCCCGTAATCTGCTTATGCTCAAATCCCATCCTCAGCCCTCTGTATCCGTGGTTCCCCATCCTCAGATTCAGTCAACTGCTAATCATGTAGTATTGTTATCTATGGAAAAAATCTGCACAGAAGTGGACCCGCACAGTTCAGACCCGTGTTGTTCAAGGGTCAACTGTATTTGTAGACGATGGTGCCAAGTACATTATTCCACAAACTATGAACCTATCTTTGTGAATTACTACATAAAGTGGAGATTTGTGGCACTTATCTAAGTAAATCCACAACACCCTGATATTGAGGAGGGAAAAAGTTTATAGACTGAAATTAGCCAAACTAGTTAATGAACCAATCAGATTAACTCAGTCATGGCCCTAAACTCTATTGCCCTTGGCCTCCCTGGGCTGACCTGATCCCACCAGTAGAGGACCTACATTTGCTCTGTATGCTTCCATGCTTCCTCCTAAGTGGCATCAGGCAGAAGGACGTGCTTTGTTGAACTGTAGCCCATGAAGAACTTCTTTTGGGAAATCGGCTTATTCTGAGGGCATTTCAGTTTGAAGCCGCTCACCCTGCCACACAGTTCCTCCCCGTGCCTCACGTTCACCTTCTATTCGTGGTCAGTGTCAAACCTGAACCTGTAAGATAGCATGGGGACTTCCCTGGCAGTCCAGTGGTTAAGACTTTGCCTTCCAGTGCAGGGGGTGTGGGTTCGATCCCTGGTCGGGGAGCTAAGATCCCACATGCCTTGCAGCCAAAAAACCAAAATAGAAAACAGAAGCAGTATTGTAACAAATTTCAATAAAGACCTTAAAAAAACATGGTCCATGAAAAAAAAAAAAAAAAACTTAAAAAAAAAAAGACAGCCTGAAGAGAATTATTATGAGAGCTAAATTTATTGAGCACTTCGTATGTGCTAGGCATTGTTCTGCGTGTTTTGCATGTTACCTCATTTAATCCTCACAACAACTCAAAGAACTTTGTACTATTTTCATTCCCATCCAAGGTTGCTAGAGCTTAGCTGGGTTATGTTACCTGCCTAGAGTCACCCAGTCAGTGTAGAATGGAGGGTCCCACCTAAGTAACTTTTAATAGGATTAAGCTCTTGAGTTAAAACCTAGTCTCTTCAGAAAGCCCCTGGGAAACCTGAGGGCCAAATCAAAGGCAAGCTACAAATTTTCAGGTGAATCCCGTTAAATAATATTATTAATGTCATTCAGACATAACAGAAAAGAAGTGTGCCAGTTACACTGTTGAAAGTGCACGGGGCCTTGGGTTTGTATTCTCTGGTCTTCTTAACATGATTTGGATCCGTCTCTTTCCAGAATGAAGTGTCCATGTTGAAAAACGAGGTGGCACAGCTGAAACAGCTGTTGTTAACACATAAAGACTGCCCCATAACAGCCATGCAGAAAGAATCACAAGGATATCTAAGTAAGTCATTGACTTCTTTGCTTTTTTTAGTGTCCAGTTTTTTTTCCACCAATTTCTCATTGGATTTATTGAAAGAACAAAAGTAAAGCATAGACTGCACACCCAGGTGGATATCATGCTAGAATTCTTGAGTGGCTGCCAGACTACTGCACCAGAGGGAACCCTTCTTTTCTGACCCCATTCATCACCATGACCGCCACCTCCTAATAATTTCTGGCTAGACGTTCCCTGGCATTCCACACTGTAAAATCCCACCAAATTCCAATTCTGCAGCCAGTAGGAGCCCAATTACTGGTGGGCTAGCAGTCTTTTATGGGCTGGGAAACAGGCTTTGGGTGAATTATATCCAGTGCCTCAGGATATGCTACATGTTATTCACCAGGCTGAAAAGCTAGTGACCTTGTCTCAGTTTACCAATATGTAAAGTGGATCTGTTTTTCTAGATCCCAGTATCTGCACCTGGAATGTCAATAGGTTCAATGCTAATTGAGTAGGGGACGGCGGAAGAAGGGGGGATTCATGGCTGAAGGTCAATTTCTTTTCAAATAATTTTTTAGATTGAGCAACACAGATTCTCCCACCACATGTGAGTATTTTTCCACATTTGATATATGGATGGCTCTTTGAAAAGACAAGATGGGGACTTCACATGCCACAACTTAAACACATCAACTCATGTTGCTGATCTAGAAAGCATGGCTTTGCTTGTAGCTATAAACTGGGAAGGCATAGCTTTGTGACTTTAAAATAAAGTTTTGGAATTAACCTCCAGGAGAAAATGTGTGAAACGCTCCTATTTCTAGCAAGCATCTAGCAATATTTTTTGAGTAGCCTCCAAGTCCACCCAGGAAAGAGCTATATTGGTGTGTGTGTGTGTGTGTGCTTTTTCCTAGGTCCAGAGAGTAGCCCTCCTGCAAGCCCCGTCCCCACGTGCTCTCAGCAGCAGGTCATCCAGCATAACACCATCACCACTTCCTCGGCCGTCAGCGAAGTGGTAGGAAGCTCCACCCTCAGTCAGCTCACCACTCACAGAACAGACCTGAATCCGATTCTCTAAAATCCGAGGGTCAGACCTTGCCTCCAAGGAGAGCTGTCGCATATCCTGCGTCCTTTCTTTTAAGGGCATTTTTAGAATTAACTCAGACCTGGAAGACTCCTCAGCCCTTCAAAGACTGGCTTTCATTTTTATAGTTATTATGGAAATGTTGTCTTTTATACTCAGTTATATAAGCAAAAAAGGGAGTTATGCAATTAATAATCTATCAGCTTGGGAAATGCTTTGGTGCTTTTCTCCAATTTTCTGGTACCAGTTACTTGTTTATAAACTGAACTCTTTCTGTATATAGTCATGGTTTCATTCTTATCAGTCCAACCCTTTGCCTGAAACGTTGAATCTTGTTAAGCCACAGCTTTTAGCCAAAATGAGGCGTACCTAGATGTCCAGTATACAGACTGCAAGGCAACTGGGGGAGAAGTCTGATGATGTCATAGCTTATGTTGAGTTGGTGCTATGATGTCACCAGAATCCCAGATAAATGGAGAGCCTTTTCCACAACCCTGTTTCTCTTACTATAAAAAAAGTATAAGCTCCATTGATGTCCAAATAAAATCAGCAAGCATCTCACCACCTCTCCTCCTGCTCTTGGTCCACTTCCTTGAATGCCCAATTTTCCTTTCCATTTCCACTTTTACCTGGGCTCCCTATTGACTCTTTATTTTTACTTTCTGTTTTATTTTTTCCCCTTTAGCGTTGCATGCAAAGAAGAAAATAATGTTTAAAGGAAAAAAAAAAAAGCTAATGTGGACCTAGCCATGGCTTCCCTTGCCCCTGACCCATTCAACTCTTGCTTTTCACAAAAGAGTAACCGGGAGATGTTTAATGTGCCTGGTTTAATGTTTTTAATAATCAGAGCAAATAAAAGGTGGCTTAGCCGTAGGTGAAGCACCGTTGAATGCCAGCTGTGGAGACACTAGGGAAGGGAGCTTTATAAGCCTCAATTGTGGAAGTCCAAATTATGATGCAGAGCTAGAACATCATACCCTCGAATTACAACTGGTTTTATATGGCCTGTCTATAATGTTGAAAATCCATGTACTATATAATAATTCAGAAGGGCTCTATTCACTACACAGATTATGTTGTTCAGTCATTAGCTGCTAATAGCCTAAGATATATTATTATTTTTTTCTTAAGCCTATGGAACCGTCTTTGCTGTTCTGGTGGGCGAAAGTAGACGAACTACTGGAGGAACAGAGAGAGAAAGAAAACCTAATGTTTCCATGGAGGTGCTTTCCGCCCTCCCACAGCAGTTAAAGCACTCTGGCTGCTCAAAGTATCCCCTGGATATGGCTACTCCACTCTTCTGAATAATTCTGATTTATACTTTCAGCAACTTTCCTGGACTTGCCCATTATAAAAAGCAGATACTCCAAACCACAGTTGTGCCTCCTTGAAACAAGCCATTCTACTGTGCTAAGGTTTTAATATCACATCTCACAAATAACTGGGGCTAGTTTTCTTCTCTAGTTGTCTAGGCAGGTGCTGGTGTTTCATCTCCATTTGAATGCTTGACCTCCAAACATGAGTGTGTGTGTGTGTGTGTGTGTGTGTGTGTGTGTGTGAGAGAGAGAGAGAGAGAGAGAGAGAGAGAGAGAGAGAAAGAGAGAGCGCGTGCAAGATAATGGGATTTAAAAAAGTAGTATTTTACAAAAGGTGTAGCTTTTATAAGAGTTCGGAAAAGGGAAGGATGTGCTTTTTTTTTCTCTCAGTATAGTGTAAGAATCTATTTTGGAGAAAAAAAGAAAATATAAGGGTTATGAAGCATGGTTTTTATAACTAGTTTCAGTTTTATCTAATAACTTACTTTTTAAATCAATATTTATCAACAATCTTTTCATGTATGCAGTGCTTTCAAAAAGAAAGTTTTGAGTTTCCAGGGAAATGCATAACTTGGATATATGATCTAAAAAATCAAAACAAAAGCAAAAGCAAAAAAAAAAAAAAGAGAGAAAAAAGAAAAAAATGCAAACAAGAAAAGGATTTTCTATTATATTTTAGACAAACATATCATTTTTAAGTATTTTAAATACTGAATTCAGTTATTTTGTTTTGTTTTGAATCCCAGCTGTAATAGCTGAATGGTTTAACCTTACTGGCTTCCTAAGAAGTTTAAGATTTAGCTAAAAAAGCAGTTAACATTCTTGTCTCTATTTTGAAATCAAAAATAATTTTTTCTAAACTCCTTCCTAGGACCATTTATGTGTCCCCCTAAAAAGGAGAAAGAGCTCATTGAAATATTTGGGTTTTTTAATTTTTTAATTTTTAAAAAATTTTTGTTTTGCTTTAAGTGAAAAATATTTTCTTTCTTTACTGCATGCATAGCACTTAATGAAATGGATTTTTAAAAAATCCACTGGTGATATCAGAATGTCCAAGGAGTGGGCTGTCACTAAAATTATGGTTTACTTTACTTCTCTTCCACCTCTTAATTGAAATATTTAGTTGTTAAACCAAAAGCCTCTGCAGTTAAGAACTTGCCTGAGTTTTAATTCAGCAGCTTGATGGTTTGACTGACGTGCATTATATATAGCTCAATTATGTCTGTTTTTTATGCTAAGAAGGCAAACCACCACACACAGGTTAGCAAACGGGCCTCAACGTATAATTAGAATAAACTTCTTCTTATACTCAGGGCCTTTAGGTATGTTCATTAGCAGTGTGGAAATACAGTGAATGGAGGATGCCAGCAAGTTGTCAGAGCTTCTTGAAATCCTGAACAGAAAGGCTCATTGGTCAAATCCAACACTCGACTTATCATTATTAAATATTTCACTTGAAGGCCTAGCTTTCACCAGACTGTAGAATAATCTGTCTGCCTGAAAATCTCTCCATTCTTGTCCCACACTTTTTGCCAATCTGGGGAAACATTCTGCCCTATTCTCCTCTCCCACCCAGCTACTGGGTCATCCATCCATACGGTCACAGATCAGTTGCAATGACCTTCAGAGCACCCATCCTGAGGAAGGAGGGCCCGCAGCGCAGCACTGCCTCTCCTTGTTCACAGGTGGGTTTCTGTCAGCAGGATCTGCTTCTGAAGTCACTGCCAACCTGCCTGGAAACTTCCACAGCGCCTCCCCTGCCTCCTGTGACAGGAATTAGCAGCCAAGATAGGGACACCTGATAGCGTTTCTACCAGGTCAGTCCTTACCTACACTGAGGCATTCCCATCTTAATTGTTTCTCCTTAAGACATTTCTGAACATATGCCAGGACAGGTAGAGTGAAAATCCTCCCTGTGCATGAATGGACTCGTTTTAACGCCTGGCGTGAGGTCGGATGTTTTCCCTTTACCCTTCCCCGCAGCCCTCTCCTATCTCCACATCAGTGTTTGCCAGTCACAGTCTTAACACGGCCCATGGGGACGAGCAATTTGTGTACTGTCACTGCATGCCTTCTTTTCATTAGGGTGACTTACTTGGAGCAGTTGCTCTTTGGAGCCTGTCAGGTCCAAGAAATCAAATGCAGTGCGTGTTCCGAATAGAGGGGCATCCGTGGTGAATGTGCAGGTGGCTGTGGTCTGTTAGTTCAGAAAACTGTCGTGTGCTAGTTGAGCTTGTCATTAAAAGTCAACCAGCTGCCACAAAAGACCAGCCTTTGGCTGGGGGGTTTTAAGCATCTGTAACTGCTATAAACCTAGCCATCCAGTTAGGATAGAATGTGCTTCTTTCTGGTTAATAAAAAACCATCTAAGAAAATATATATGTATGTATGTGTGTATACAGTGGAATTCAAGGACCAAAGCAAAATTTGAACAGGAATCTATTAATTTAGAATTTTATAAGATATTTATTAATAAATGTTATTTTTAAACATTCCATTTGAACAATATTCTTCTGTAGGATCTACTTGTTTTTAAAGGATTAGTTCATAATAAACTACTCTAGTTGTGTGTATCTTCATTTTACAGGGTTTCTAATGGCTATTCTCCATCATTTGGTGGAAATGTTTGTTTAGACCTCTGTGCATAGAAATTTCAAGGATTTGTATTGCTCTGTGAGTTATTTTTTAATCTATGTTCGGAACAGTTTTAAATCATCTATTTCTTTTTTCATTTTTAAAGTAAGCTCTTTCCTTTAGGAAGCAGAGTTCAGCTAAAGGGAATCGGTAACTATAACTGGAACAGCTCTCTTGTAAAAGTGTAAAAACAGCTTCATCTCTGCTTCTCCCCACCGCACCCCAACTTCCCAGAATGCCTTGCACTATTCAGCTTCCTTAGTGCTCTTCTCGTCCCTTCCCAAACCGTGTGCAGTAGCTTTAAGCCATTCAAGTTCCATTATGCAGTATATCTGAGAAGGGAAAGGAAATAACCCGTTTAAATTGGAATAAAATCGTGCCTATGCGAACAGTAGCAATTTAGAATCACTCTTCTGCTTTTAAAATAATTTATATTTTAAAATTGCACTTTAGCATTTGTAATCCCTGTCAGTTTCTCTCGTTCTCTTTCAGACCTCCTCCCTGCCCTTAAACTTCCCTTCACCCTCCCCTTCCCAACTACCCCACGCTTCCTCTAAGGCTCTGAGCTGCATCATTTAAAATACTTTACGGAATATTTGCACCAGGTACATTTGCGTGCGTTCACCAGTAGCATAGCCAAGACGCATTGCTAACATCAACCTAGATGAAGCCTGCTACGAGAATGCCAAGGAGAAGAGCCAGTATGCTCTTTCTCCCTTTATTCATAGCATGTTTTTTAAAAATGTTATATTATGCAACAGATGTGAGGGAGCAGCTAGCTATGCTACACTGAAGAATTTTCTATCTTATCCTCCAACCAAAGTGTGCTGAATGAGCCAGGAGACATTCTCTTGTGCATCACCATGCACATCAGACTGTCGTCCTCGCCATCGTCTCTCTGGGCTGCTGAAAAAAAAACGGTGACCCTAACTATTTCACTCCTAGGTCTCAAAAATACAATGTTGCCTTGTACCATAATTAGGGACAGCACCTCTATTTTACAATTATAACCTAAGAAAGGACAAGAAGACACTGAAGCAATAAACTTACAAGTAAGATCCAATACCAAAACAAAGAAAAAAAACAAAACAAAACCCAGCTCGTCATGTTGTGAAAATGAAAAAGTGTATGTCCGTTCAAAATATTTTACTATTTCTTGTGGAGTTTTTCAGTGATGTAATGCTTATAGCCAAATTGCTTAAAGAGTGTTTATATATTTTTTTCCTTATAAATTGTCTATTTTTTAAAAAAGCTATTTAACCACAAGTTGAAGGGGGGGGGTAAGGCCAAACTGCCAGCATTTCTTAAAAGATTAATGTTCTTAAGTGGCGCTCTGATGCCTTTCCAAGCTTATCGTCAGAGGGGGCTCAATAATGATCAGCTGTTATACTTAGACCAACTTACAATATCTAGCTCATTAGAAGCCAGGATTTAGAAAGCTCTTCTTAAGCCATTGAAGATTTTCTTGCATTGTGTTTCATTTTATAGAACTTTATAGGATTTTTTTTTTTAACAGAATCATTTTAGCCTCAGGACTGAGAATGTGGAACCTGAATACATTAGCTTTAAATACATCATTAAAATCTTATGCACAATAAGCTCATTAGAGTCTAGTTTGCTCCTTTAGAATACCAAGGCTATAGACGCTACAGGACGTGATGAAAGGTATCAGCCATGCTGAAGTGGAGGGGGTTTCAGAGAAAGGACCCTTCCCCACCAGCCAGCCAATAGAACAGAAGAACTGCTCGCCCTCTTTCCTTCTGTGTTCTGCTAAATCACACCTGCCTCATAGAGAGAGGAGTTCTGCCTTTGAGGTTTGTCTTGGAGAAAAGATAAACTTGAAATGTCCTCCCTGGAGAGGACATGGGATTTGGGATCTTCCGAAAAGGCCCAGAAAAAATGGCTCAGTTCAAACACAGTGTTCTAGGACAATTGGAATATAAATATTGTCCAAAAGATAGAACTAAGAGAAAAAAGGTTAACATTGTGCAAAGTAAGTGTTAACTAAGGAAGTCCTCGGAAAAGGTGCTGTCACTTTAAGTTCTGGACTCCGTGGGGGGGGGGGGGGGGGGGGGGTATTTGTCATTGTAAACAGCAAAGCATTTGTGTTTGTTTGTCTGTTTGTAAAGCAACCACCTTCCTTACTGGAAGGAGAAAAAAACTGGGGGTACATACATGTAAATACTTGCAGCAGCATTTAATATGTTTAATTTTATGTTAAGCTTTTTGTTGCATCGTGAACACATTTATTGTTACCAACGGACAATGAGTTCATTAAGACTGTTCAACTAGGTCAGATTTTTACATCTCTTTCTAGCAAGAAGAGACAAGATTTTGTGCATTTGTACAAATGTTAATAATATCACTGCAATTCCAATATAATAAAGCACTCAAATGCAAATAATATATGTACCCTCTGTATGATGAAATTTGGGTTGGGGCTAATGACATCTACTCTGCACAAGGTTTTATTCATGCCTCATAAACCAAGGCTTAGGCTTTCAGGGTCACCATCATCTAGGGGCAAAAGCAGGTGAGATTTTCTCCTTCCCAGACCATCACTACTCTCCCACTGCCTCTTCCATCCAACTTCCCAACTGAGGCCACGAGTCTAACACATTCACAGTGGGTTGGCCACATGACTTTGGGATCAGCAGATTTTAACAGTCAAGAAATACAGCCAGTGTAAATTCATGTTTAAGTTGTGTCTGTGAACCAAGAATCACTTGCTGGCTAGTCTGACAGTCACATCCTGGTGTTCTTTGTTTGACCTCCAGAGAAGTCCGAAGGACAGGCTTATTAACCCAGTGTGCATGCACTCTTATAAACATTAACCCCCACCTTCCTCTTCTTCCTGCCTTCCTTATTCTTTTATTATTTTTCTAGTCATGCTCCTCTTTTTCTTACACTCTATCTGATCCCTCAGCATGGCCAGAATCCAACCATCCTTTATCACCAATTTTACTGTTGCAGTTCTGTCCAAGCTACCAGCATCTCTTATCTGGATTAGTGCAGTGCTCTTCTAACTGGCAGCCACAGGGAGCGTTTGAAAATGGAAGTCAGACTGTATTCCTCTACTACTTAAAACCCTGCAAGGACTTCTCCACTCATTCAGAGCAAAAGCCAAATACCTTACTATCAGGTTCTATAAAGATCCCACCTGCCCTCGCCCTGTTCATTCTGAGTTCATCTCCTACCATTTTCCTTCCCCGCTCACACCTCTCCAGCTCCATTAATATCTTTGAGGTTCCTCAAACATCCTCTCACTATCCACCGGAGAACCTTTTCACACACTGTTCATTCCCTCTATCCACAATATTCTTCCCCCAGATGTCAGCCTAGCTCCCTTTCTCATCTGTCTCCCTCTCAGTAAAGCCTTTCTATCCTACCTAAAATTATATCACTCTCACTCTTCCTTCTCATCTGTCTTGCCCAGACTATACTTTCTATAGAATTTACCTCCATCTAACATAAGTTATATTTAGTTGTTGTTTTTTTTATTGTCAGTCTCCCCCAAGTAGAATGTAAGCTCCACAAGAGAAAGGGCGTTTTCAATTTTCTTCATCCTTGCAACCCAGGATCTAGAACAGTGGATACACAGTGGGCACACAGTAAACATCTTTAAGGTGGGGATCTGTTAGTTCCTTTCTGCCTTCTCCTTTATCATCAGAATGCTCCAACCCATCCACCTGGCTCTGTGGCCACAGCAGTCTGATTTTAAAACCAAGTACCAGGGCATGTCATCTGACACCTAGCCTGACCTTGGGACAGGATATTTGAAATTGGGACAGAAACAACAATTTGGGGTATGGGGCGATGATTGCTGTTCTAATGGCAATCCCATCTGTTACATTTGCATTAGGACCACTCAGTGCACACACGGTTCCCAAGAGAGGCTTCGTAATACCCGTCCCACACTCATTTGCAATTTTAAAGCCATTAATATTGGTTAAAAAAATTGTTATGATCCCACATTTATACTTTGAGGACAGACGACTCTAATCTCTACCCTTCCTTTCATCCCTGTGTGTCCCTGGGGCTTCATAATGTCCTTTTATCTCACATTTGCTATTGTGGTTGATTATTCGTCGGTTACTGGATCACATTTTAATTTTGCATTCCATATTTTCTTATCCAAGAAAAATAGTTCTTTAGCAAGACAACCTTGTGGTTTGGGACCTAAGTATCTTCATTATGAGATCATAAAATTCTGGAGCACAATGGGCCCCCTTTTTAAAGTAATTGAAAGCAAGACGTTTTGTGAGACCTGTTCCCATGGCAGTAACATCAACTTTAGCAGAACAAGCATGAAAATTTCAGCTGCAAAAGAGAAAAAATACTGATTTTAAAAATATAAAGACAGAGTCTGGGTTTAGATTTGCCCACTTCAGAAGCTACTTCCTTTTAGCAACTGTAGATGATTTTTCAAAATGGCTGAAAGGATGGATAAATGATAACATCTGAAAAATAGTCTTTTAGCCAGTAAACCTAGCAAAACTATTATTGTTATCATTGTTATTGTTGTTATTGAAAATGGTTATATTTATACCTGAGACTAACACAATATTGTAAGTCAACTATACTCCAATAAAAATTTTAAAAAAAGAAAATGGTTATATTTAAACCTGAAAATTAAGTCATAAAACTTTTAGTAACCACTAAGTTTCATCTTATATGTTGTCAGATACTGTGTCTCTGCTCACATCGTATTTCCTTATATCAACTGGAGGCTGAACTGCAGCAATTGTCAGTAATCTTCCATAAATTTCTTGAGACCAGTATTACTACAACATAGATGCAATGGGCTATAAAAAGTTCTCCCATAAGTCACTTGCACTTTCTCAGAAAGAGATCTGCCTACATGTTCCCTTAAATGAATAAAAAAAGGAAGATCCTACATTCACAATACATTCTAATTCCTCAATACTCTTACAGCAAGAAAATTGTTCTGAGTAAACATGATTGCTTGTATTGCATTTACACAGGATAAGTCCTTGATCTACTAATATTATATTCGAGTTACCTTAAATGGAGCACCCTCTATTTAAATTAGCTCACTGACTTTGACCTTCATCAACTCATCCCTTAGTCAGAGGGGATTTGCTTAAAGAAAGAAAAACCCTGTCAAGTATGCTTGAGTGAAGGTGAATTTCTTAGGATGTATGAGGTAGGTCATGGAGCCCAACTAGGTATGGTGGCAACTATGACAATGACTCTGGAAAGTCATTAAATAGCTAATCTCTCTGGTTTGTCTTGGCCTCTGATGCCGGATGTTTTCTCATCCTGCTCCATGTCTGCTTCTCTTTCTCTCTTTCTCTCTCTTTCTCTGCAAACCGGTTTGTATACTCACTTAATTGCTTCTCTGTGGGCCCATCATTTCTGCTCCAAAATAACAGCTTCAGCCTCCAGCATATCTATGGTCTTTTAGTTCTAACACCCAACACCAACTCAGTTTCTGTCTTTCTGTTCCAGTTTCTCAGGATAAAGAATCCGTTTGACCATATGGGGTCAGGTTTTTGTCCCTGGTACAATCAACTATGTCTAGGGAAGCAGCGTTACGTGGAATTATAGCTCCTGCTTCTGGGGGCAGAGCAGGATTTCCAAAAAGGGAGTGAGGAGAAAATGACTGCTAAGAGAAATAGTTGTTATTTCTGAAACCACTTCATAGAAACACTTAAAACATACCAAGAGAAAAAAGTGCAGTGAGGAGACGGCATAAAGCTGGGCATAGAGCAGGTGTTAACAAACGTTTGTTGAATGAATGAATGGTTAATAAATTCTTATGTTACTGGAAGCTTGGAACTGAAACAAATTGAATGTTCATTAAACATTAAAAACTAATTTTACAAAGCAAAGAAATTTTCTGGATATTACCGCTCAGCTTTAAGGCCATAATATCCAAAATATAAAAATTAACCATCAACAAGAGTGGGAAAGATTTTGCTTGTCGTGTTTTGTAACTTCCTACTCTCTTGCTTTAGACTGACTGATAACACTTAACAGTTTCCAAGAAAGATCATTGCTATATTTTTCTCATATTCTCTGTAAGTGATTCCAGCGTGCTTGTGTTTGTAAGGATGTTGGCATAATGTCTCCGGGGATGAGGTTAGGAAACACTCTTGTCCCCAAACTCCCTCCAGGTACTATAGTAACTTTCTAAAGAAGGCTTTGTGACAAGGAAATAGGGCAGCTCTTAGCAACAAGCCTCCAAGAAAGCAATGAGAACCGTTACCAAGAAGGCTAGAATAAGTGAACATAACAGCCTAGAGTAAGAATGAATAGTTCTTCATTTTCATTCTAAATTGTCTATTGATTTCCTACATGACCTTAAACCAACACAGCTGTCTTCTCCTTACTTGTATCCTTTGTCAGTATAAATATACACAGAGTGAAGTGGGAATTATTTCTGTGGTGGCTACATAAGGAGCTCTGCCCAATACTGCTACCATACCCTTCTCTGGAAATTTCTCTTCCCCTTACTCCATCCACCTGGCTCTGGCAGGAGATTGATGGCCCAGCCCTCTGGCCATAGCTTCTCAGTCTAATACTCTGCCCCTGGCTCCCAATGAACAATGAGCCCCAGTAACTGGATATAGGGGCAGGGGACCTAGAGAGTCAGCCTGTCTCTCTCTGGTAGCTGAATCTAAAAGATGTAAACTTGGGAGCTACCAGGAGCTAAGTTCCCACCCAGTAAGGGAACTAGTCTGTAGCAAGAGAGAGAAATAAAGCCAAAACAGCAGAAACAGAAGCAAGAGGCAGAAAGAGAATTCTGGTAATGGTCATTTCCTGCTGACGTAGTCCTTAACGGCTCGCTGCAACCATGTCCCTCCCCATCGCATGGTTTTACCATAAAATAGCCCAAGGTCCTTTGGATAAATCTCTCCTTTCACTTAAACTAGGTGAGTTTCTTGGAGGCAAGAGAGGTCTAGTAAATGCTCTCTCCCCAATGCTGCCATGGGAAACCACTGGAAGGGCTTCTCCAGCCCTTTAAGACTCTGCCACACCAACACAGGAAAGGAAATGCAACGTTCCCAGCCGTTGCAAAGCAGACGCAGCTTATTCTCACTCCACACACCAGGGCATTGCCACACTTGAACGTGTGTTTGAAGTGGCTCCCTACACCTACAAGCCACAGGTACCGAAGGATATCCACACCATCTATTTCACAGATGACATGTCAAGTTTAAGTTCTTCTTAAGCAATGTTTGCAAAACTAGCATTATACTTGCCGAGAATGGAATTGTTTTCAATATTTTGTTGAATGGATAAAAACTGCTAATGTCCTTCATTCTCTATGGGTCCTTATATGCACAGTAAAATAAACATGTAAGTAATATTTTTCACTACAAGTAACAGATAACTCAACTTCCAGAGGCTTAAACAAATAGGGATTTATTTTTCTGACATAACAGGAAATCTGAAGATTGAGCTCTTGGCATTAATCTGGAAACTGAATGAGGTCAGCACCAGTAGCTCTGCAGTACTCCTGACCTCTCTCTGAAACCTCTCTCACTTCTTAGTCACAAGATGGCTGCTGAAGCTCTAGAGCACATCCCCAGTCCAGGGAGAAAGGATTGGGGGAGGATCAG